CCTGACGCCCCCCCCCCCCCCGTTCCTTTCCCCCGCGCCCTGTTCAGCTCCGGGTATCCAACGCCGAGCTTAGGGAAGAGGTGCTCGCCCTGCGCAATTCCATGGCCCAGCGCGGCTTTTTCCCTGTCGATGATGTCTTCGCGACCGCGACGGCGACAGGAGGGACGTCTGCTTCGGGCAACGGGCAACAACCCCCGACATCCGAAGGAGGCGACCCGAAGCCGCCGGCGAAGCTCCAGCGGGAGGCCCGCCTGGCTGCCCTGGTGGTGCTGTGGGGAGCGGCGGTCGCCATCGGGGGAGTGTTCGTGCCCATCGCCATCGGGGTAGGGGCGGCGCGCTCGCTGCGCTGGCTGGACGACGGCGGCACGCTCGTGCCGAAGAGGTGGAGGGGTCGCCAGCTTGGTTGGGGGTGGAGACGGGCGCGCGCTCTGAGCTTTGTGCCGGTGCTGGCGTGCCCGCCGAGCGACGGGGGTGGCGGTGGCGAGGGGCTGGTGACGGGAGAAGCTCTTGCCGATGCCTGGGACGAGATGTACCCTCCTCGGCAACGGTAGTACTCGCGGCATCGCCGTGACGTCATGAGAGCTGGCGGTTTCGCTCGTCCTGAAAAAACCATGTCCACGTAGCGCTCTCTGTACATATGATGATCCCACGTTTATCGGTGGAAAAAAGCGGCACAATTAGCGCTATGCAACGATGCGCGTCCACAGAGCGTCTCCGAGCGACTGTCTCGGGTCTTCTGGTTTGTTGTAGTGCGGGGGGGGGGGTCGGCGCAAACGTGAGTCCGGGTCAATTTTACGGACTCGCCAGAGGACCATTCAGGGTCAGCACGAGTTTCTCCTGTCGTACCTGTCGACCAGACATATTGTATTGTATTCTTGTGGGAACGCATGTCGATGGGGCGCCCGTTGGGCGAGTCTTCTAAACGGGTTTTGTACAAATCATAAGTCATCGATGTGTGGCGCGGACACAGCAGTAGCGTGGCCTTTGGACGGCTGTGATCGAATCAACATAGTTCGTTCGTATGCTACAATAGCTTCTCCAGCAGCCAGCGCACCTGTATACGTGTACTTTTATGTGACTGCGGGAAATACTGGGGAGTTGTAGGGTTGGATGTCCTTCTATCTGTATGTCTGCCCATTGGGGCATAGTGAGCGAGGCGAGCGAAACGGAACGCTTTTGACGCCCAATGCTTTCCACTCTTTCTTTTCACGTCCGACAGGATGGCTATCGTAGCAGCATACCGTCAGTACGCGTAAAAGCTTGGGTACACTCACGAGACAAAAAACATACCGGGTAGGTGCTGGCGGAACACGGGTGCCAGACGAATGTTGCCGTACAGTGTCATATCTGAGCAAGATGGGGTCCGTTGTTTCTGTGGTGTTCATGGGGGGCATGAGCTTGTCGTTTTGGCAACGTTCACATCGCGCGCACGTGCAACGTCCTGGTGTGTAGTGCCTTCTTACCTTTACCGATGTTTTTTATTCGTAGCTCGCCATGTAGCTGTCTTGGACGTTTGTGGTTGGATGGTTGATGAGATACTTTTTGGGGGATCTCTCTCTTGGTGCTGTACCAGCTACGAGCTAGGATGGCTCTTCTGCTATGTAGGAATTTTGTTTTTTCCACAGATTTCGTTTCCATTTCTTGCATTTTGTTTAGGCTGGCGATGCCGCGGTCAGACAAGGGGGAGAAAGTATCGCGGGCTGGTTGAGAAGAAGTGGTCGGTATTTTCCACTCCGAACAGGCAATGAAGGCAAAGCACGGAGGGGGGTATATGTTCTCGAGGGGACTAGACTAAAAGTCGCAACATTCGCCAAACAAGATTGTGGTTCGCCATGTGTCCGACCGAGGTTCGGGACAATCTCCCTACCGAGTGTGTGTGTGTTCTTCCCATACGTTGTGGTGGCGGTTCACACGTCTCTCGGTGTGTCCTCGGTGCGTAACCCGAGGTCACCCCGGAGGAAGGTCACACAGTTTTTTTGTTGTTGCCCCGCGGCTCCTCCTGCAGCACTTGGGTTGGTTTTATCGCGAGAAGGGTCCAATCGTCCCGTGCCCTCGTTGACCCCCAAGAGGTGTGTATACTTAGGAAACATGTTTTCCACCGCAAAATGTTGGCAAAGAAAACCCTCCAACTGGAGAATCGAACCCAAAACCTGTTCCAAAGTAGGTTTGCGAGGTTAAACCACTACAGGACCACGGGGGCGACCCGTGCACCGTCAAAACCACCTCTGAAAACATGTAGACTCACTTCTAGAGCATACGACGCGAAATCACGATTTCAACCACGAAAAATACAAGGAAGAGTTTCAACCCGAATCCCGATGGCGTAGACTCGCCGTGGGCAATCCAGAGGAGGCGTTGACAAATAGCGTGCCACCAAAGGGATACGTAGTCTACCTGCCCTTCGTGGAGAAAACGTATCAGACGAACAAGATTCGACCTCGTTCATCGAAACATGGAAGAATGCCCTGAGGTTGCAAAGATTTAGAAGTACAAAGCATACGCTGCACGCGAGAACACGCCATCTAAATATGAGGGAAGGACTCCGAGAGACGGAGGGACGCAGTCACTACATCGCGTCGTTACCCTCCAAATACCTTTCGACCAGCCATAGGAGACAGGGTGCACATGCCCATGCCCAATCTCAAACGTGCCGATCGCCGCCATCCACATTCTCTTTCTAGTCTAGAGGCCAATATGCTTTCAAAGCAGCAGCGCTTGGCCTAACACGCTCCATCCCAGCCCCCCCCCCCCCCCCCCCCC